AGTTGAAACTACTAAGCAAGATACGGTTTACACTTTAGTAAACACTATAGTTCTCCATTTTATTGGTGTCGTAACCGGTATTGAAGATCGAAGTAGAGAACTATTATAGAAATTAAGATGTCCATCTTTATCCCATTTTAGATGGTATAAGGATGTATTCCTGATGAAAGTACATCAACATACTCTTTTTGCAAATTAAGATGCTAATTCAGATCATTGGAAAGCCAAATTTATTGATGGTCTTCCTACTCTTTTTGCAGAAAGAGTTAGAAAGAAGTTAAGAGATCGTCATAACCAATTGGCTATCCCATACAGTAGATATACCTATGGTTAACTCATAGGATTAATTACTGATAAAGGTCTTGCTCTATGTAATGATCTTAAATTACAACAACAAATGAAACATCAACATCTTACAGGAAGAAAAGAATTAGGCGAATTTTGTGAACAATTTGCCTATAATACAAAATTACAGTATCCTCATAAACAAAAAAGACATAAAATTGCAAAATCTTCTAAGTATTATTCCAAAAAATCCAGAAAACATAAATATGCTAAAAATAATCAAATTCAGCCTCAAGTACCTTCAAAAGGTAAACAAAAATGTTCCAGAAAGAAATCTAAATCCACAATTAAATCTTATAAATGTGGACAGATAGGTCATTATGCTAATCGTTGTAAATCCAAATTACAACAGAAGCTTAATGAACTATCAATAGATAATGATATTCAGCAACAGATTCTTAGAATACTTTCTGATGAATCTGACAATTCTTCAAATGAAGAAGATGAAATTGCAGCTTTATACTTCTTAGAAAGTGGGAATGAGTCTGATAACTCTCCAGAAATTTGTGAATGTAAAACTCACATAAATCAGATATCTGATGAAGTCAACTATTTGAAAGCTGTAGTTGAAATGAATGGACTTGATATTGGAGGACCCAGTATCAATGTCCTTACAGAAGAAGAACAGAATATGATTACTTTTGCTGATTAGATTTCCAATCCAGAAAAAGGAGGAAATTCTTCCCCCTCAACATTACAGTATGAAGGAAGTCTTTCAACGACTTCAACCTCTTACTGAAGAAAAGCCTTTAACTATCCAGGACATAAAAATGGAAGTCAATGCTTTAAAAGTTGAAATCAAACATTTGCAAACTTCTAATATTTCTATTAATTCTGAAATAAAAAAGATTAATAGTAAGATCCAGAATAAGGAAAAGGGAATCGTAATTAATGAATCTACTTTTGAATCTATTCCAGTATCAGAAACTAAAGAGCCTGATTACCTCATGCTCATGAGTACAGTTTTTTTTCAGAAATGGTATACTGGAATTACTTTTAGGATAAAACCAGATTTTATTATAAAACATGGCATTGCCCTTGTCGATAGTGGTGCTGATATGAATTGTATTCAATAAGGATTAATTCCTACTAAATACTTTCATAAAACAACCCAATCACTTACAAGTGCAAGTGGTAATTCTTTATATATCCAGTATAAACTTCCAGAAGTATTAATTTGTAATCAAGGATTATGTCTTCCGACTTCTTTTGTTCTTATTAAAAATATGTCTCAAGCTCTAATCCTAGGAACACCTTTTCTGTGTTTGCTTATGCCAATTTCTAAAATTGATTCTATTGGCATACACACAACCTTAAATAATCAACCGATTATTTTTGAGTTCGTTACAGAACCTTATACAAAAGAATTAGATCAGATTAAGGATCTAGTTAATTTCAAAGAAAAACAAATTAATTTCTGCCAGAAGGAAATTAGCTATTTAACTATGGACGAACGACTTCAACAGTCTTCTTTCGAGCAAAAAATCCAATCACTTGAACAAGAATTTCAACATGAAATCTGCAGTGATATTCCAAATGCTTTTTGGAATAGGAAGAAACACATAGTTTCTCTTCCTTATGAACCAGGTTATGATGAGCGGAAAATCCCTACTCGCGCTTGACCAAGTCCAATGAAAAAAGAGTATTTAGAACTCTGTAAATCAGAAATTAATACTCTCCTCCAGAAAAAGCTTAGTCGATCCAGTCGATCTCCTTGGAGTTGTATAGCGTTTTATGTTAATAAAAATGCAGAAATTGAAAGAGGTGTGCCAAGATTGGCAATTAACTATAAACCTCTTAATGAAGCCTTACAATGGATAAGGTATCCAGTTCCCAACAAAAAAGATCTTTTAAAAAATTCAGTTTGAAAAAGAATTACAATAAGCTGAACTCTTAGTCGAAGCAATCCATGTATGCGCATTGGCATGGATTGAAAAATGCGTAGAACCTTAATTTTGAAATGCTAATTCATTCCACAGAAGTCTAAAAATTTATAATCCTTTCCATTGGTAGTATCATGGTATGCCCCCCTTAACATCTATCAAGCAGTCCTTAAATGTAAATGTTGCTTCAATGAAGATCCTGAAATATCATATATTGAACCTTAAAACTGTCGTGGTAATTTTATTTAAAATTTTGACTATAAACCTTTTTGTACAATGATAGGTGAAGGCTGCATCGGAAAAGCCAGGCACTCCCTCTTTTCCAGATGGCATAGTATCTCGTTCCCCAAGATTAAAGAGTGGAAGGTTTTGGAAAGAGCATCACGATCTATTACTACTCCGTGCTGTATTAAAGTATGTTTCTTTTTTTATGTTTATTTCTCTTTTCTGTTCTGAAAAGAGGTAAATTGAACGAAATGGAGATAGAAAGGAAGATGCATCCTTTATAAAGAAGGCAAAGATATGAGAGAAGTATTAAAGTACATAGCTGTAAGTTATAGTTTGATGGGAATTTTATGTGTTGGCGACAATTATTTTTTGATTTGTTTAATTTGATTGCCAACCATGGTTATAGATTATGTGCTATGGTAATTTGGTGCAAAACATTTTCTAGATACACTGTGTGAGTTACTTGAGAAAAAATAAATAAATTCATTTTCAAAGTATATATTGAATAGAAGTGATGATGTAGGCAGTACAATACTAGCTATACTTGTCAATAAGTTTAAAGTTTATGTTTCAGTTAATGTCCTAAAAGCATGCCATAGCTGTTGATAAGCTCTACCCTCACCTTCAAGAGTCATATTGGCTACTTATTGAACAGCTCAGCTAGTTAATTTGAAAACCTGGATTTATCATTGTGTCCCAATCCAATTGGCTTCTTTCAAATTGAAGAGACAAGCCTTTTCATGTGGCAGGATGTCCTTAAAAGGAAACTGCTGGCTTTAAATAACTGATGTTATTTGTACAACTGTCGGTGATATTTTTCCAAAGGTTTAAATTGCCTTTCTTCCTTAAACATTAAATTTTGTTTTATAAAATTTGATGAACAGTGAGGACAGAACCATTCTCGATAATTGTTTACGATTGAGGTAATAGTATGGATTTGATATTGGATTAGATGAACTTATCAAAAAAAGAAAAAAAAAAAACGCTGCTAGTTAAAAGTTTTAGGTTGGTCAGCAATCATCTGCAACTAGTCTGAATAAGGACCTTAATCATTTTGATCTTTCTGGGTAGACATTTCTTTTTATGTGAACCTTTTCTTGTTCCTTCGTTAACACACCCTGAGAAGTGACTCCCACGGAAGAAATTTCAATGTGTATCTTGCTTTTGTTTTTTTGTTCAGGAGGTAATTGCTATAAAATTATTTGGCGGCACTTTCTATTTTTATTTATTCCTCTTTAAGTTTCCTGTATTATTTTCTGTTCTTGTCATTAACCTTAGGATCTTTTGTATTTTATCCTAGCACTTTCTATGGTTTTATATATTGCTGCTTCATCTTAATTCCCACTTCTTTGTCATAAGAGTTTGATCTTGTCTTCTTGCTTTCTTGCACGTGACTTGTTGCTAGGTTTGCCTTTATATATTTCATACGAGTTTTTAATGTTTTAAATCTTTCTTCCTTTATCCCAGCTCTGGAGCTTGCCAAACTTCCCATTGGAAATCTGGGCATAAGACAAAATGAAAGGACTTTCAATTATCTGGGCAGGTAAAATCAATGCAGTCTGCACATATGCAGCATGGACGGAGAGATTCTAGTGCAGTTGCACTGGTTCCTTCCAATGGAACCGTTAATATTACCAAACAGTCAAAAGAGGTAAATTATTTCCTTTTTATTGATCTTTGTATTCATATATTTTAGTATGCCTTTTGGTTGGGAAGGACACCAGTAATGTGCAGTAATATTTCAGATTATTTTCCCCTATGAGGATTTTTTGGAACTATTTAATTGGGACAAGCGAGGATTTCCTCCATGTGGGCTTCTTCATTGTGGAAACAGGTTTGTGTTTACCATTCCATTATTTGTTCTAAACTTATTGTTCAGATGGTTTCACTGGCTTGAGAGCTTCAATTGCATAAAGTGCACATGCTTAAGTATTAAGTTTTAACTCACAATGTGCTATATTGTAATTGTATTTGTGCAGCAGCTTTGCTAATGTGGTTCTACAATGTCTTGTGTACACTCGGCCCCTTGTTGCCTATTTGTTGGACAAAGGCCATCGAAAAGACTGTAAATGCAGACCAGAACTTTTTGTGGCCTATATTTTATGGATGATCAAACAATTTCTCACTCTTTTGTTTGTTGTTTCTTGTTGCTCAGGCAGACGGAATGATTGGTGCTTCCTTTGTGAATTTCAATCCCATGTCGAAAGATCCAGTGAAAGTCGGGTTTGTGTTTACCATTCCATTATTTGTTCTAAACTTATTGTTCAGATGGTTTCACTGGCTTGAGAGCTTCAATTGCATAAAGTGCACATGCTTAAGTATCCAGTTTTAACTCACAATGTGCTATATTGTAATTGTATTTGTGCAGCTGCTTTGCTAATGTGGTTCTATAGTGTCTTGTGTACACTCGGCCCCTTGTTGCCTATTTGTTGGAGAAAGGCCATCGGAAAGAATGTAAATGCAGACCAGAACTTTTTGTGGCCTATATTTTATGGATGATCAAACAATTTCTCACTCTTTTGTTTGTTGTTTCTTGCTGCTCAGGCAGACGGAATGATTGGTGCTTCCTTTGTGAATTTCAAACCCATGTCGAAAGATCCAGTGAAAGTCGGCATCCCTTTTCACCAATTAATATTCTCTCGCGGTTACCTAATATTGGCGGTGACCTTGGCTATGGAAAACAAGAGGATGCGCATGAATTCATGAAGTCCTATTACTTGCTTTACTCCTAGTTTAACGTAGTTTGTCTCTATCTATGAAGAAAATTTTATCATGAACCCTCATGTATTTGATGGCCAGTGTTGGTTTAATATGATAAAGTTTTACTGATTTCAATAACAAATTTTACACGTTTTTTTTTTTATTTAGGCTCCATTTGTTTCAACGTAAAATATTTTCACAAAAAAATATTTTTCTTGTAAATTGATTTTACATAGAAATTTTTTTTTTCTTTTTGGTTTTCAGCGTTTGGTTGACACTTGAAACAAAAACATTTTAGTGCCTAAAAGAGAAATTTTGATCCAATAAAGTGTCATTTATGATTTTTTAGTGAGCTAAGATATTTATTTGAATAGGCTAAACATGTCGAGAAGGTAGTGAGTGAGAGTTAACTTTGTAAAACTTGACTTGCGAAATTTTTAAAGGTAAGTCATTTTTGAGAAAATGATGCAAAAATATTTTCCTTTAAAAATATTTTACTTGTTTTTTGTTCAACTGCACAACGGAAAATGAGTTAAATTTTTTAGACAAAAACATTTTACGTCAAAACAAATGGAGCCTTAAGTTCATTCATTTTGCAGGTTTGCTATCGATGCTATGCAATCAATGTGCCTAGATGAATTTGGGGGAGAGAAGGCCCTTCATCCTAGCACTCAAGAAACAACCCTCATTCAACATATATTTGGGGGTCATCTCCAATCTCAGGTAGCTTGCAATTACACTGAGGTTTTGATATTAATCTGTGAAATGCACCGTTATAGATTCTGACATTCTGTTGACTTGCAAGTATCTAGGATCTACCAATTCTTGTTTCTACTCTGGTTGAGCATGCAGGTGGTAGATTCTTAACATAATTATTTTATGATTCCGGCATATCCATCATGATAATGTCATTTCTTTTTTCTTTCAGGCATATGTGGCTTTGTTGCCCCTTGACTTTGTATGGAATTATTTTCTGCATCACTGATTAAAGTTTATCTGGCAATTCCTGGTGTCAAATAACAGTTGCATAGTTATAAATAGCATGTTAGTTGAAATAAATCAACAAAACTATGAGGGAAAAGAATTTTAAGTGCTTACTGGAAGCTGGTGTAGTTGTTTAGATCATAACCGGGCATGAGGCAAGCCTCGAGGAGTGACAGTTCACTTCGTGGCTGTGCCTCAAATGTTATAACCCGTCGCACTTAGACTTGAGTTGAATTTGTTGTTTTATAGGTGGTGTTTGGCAAGTTTTGGGCTTGGGTTTTTTTTATTTTTTTCACTAAATGATAAAAATTTTGCAAAACAAAAAAAAAAACAAATCCAAAATATCACATCCAACCCCATAATCATTTCACTTTTTTTCTCACAAACATCACATCCAACCACAAAAAAACCCAACTATCTTACCAAACACCAAAAAAATTTTATCCAATGATATCCTACAACTAATAAAACTTACATAAAAACCCACTTCCCAAACACCCACATAACGTTGTGTGCCCCATAGTTTTTGCATCTAGCACTAACCATTTTTCTTTGATTATGTCCTGAATGTGTTAATTCCTTTTTTTCTCTCCCTTATTTCCCAAGTGATTTGTTCAAAATGCAATAATGTTTCAAATCAGTATGAAAATAGTTTTCCCATCTAGCTATAACCATTTTTCTTTGATTCTGTCATGAATGTGTTAATTCCTTTTTTAATGACCTATCAATAGATAATGATATTCAGCAACAGATTCTTAGAATAGTTTCTGATGAATCAGACAATTCTTCTAATGAAGAAGATGAAATTGCAGCTTTATACTCCTCAGAAAGTGGGAATGAGTCTGATAACTCTTCAGAAATTTGTGAATGTAAAACTCACATAAACCAGATATCTGATAAAGTCAAGTATTGGAAAGCTATAGTTGAAATGAATGGACTTCATATTGAAGGAGCCAGTATCAATGTCCTTACAGAAGAAGAACAAAATATGATTACTTTTGCTGATCAGATTTCTAATCCAGAAATGAAATTAAAATTCTTGGAATTATGTTTGCAGCATCACAGAAAGGAGGAAATTCTTCCCCCTCAACATTACAGTATGAAAGAAGTCTTTCAACGACTTCAACCTCTTATTGAAGAAAAGCCTTTAACTATCCAGGACTTAAAAATGGAAGTCAATGCTTTAAAAGTTGAAATCAAACATTTGCAAACTTCTAATATTACTATTAATTCTGAAATTAAAAAGATTAATAGTAAGATCCAGAATAAGGAAAAAGGAATCATAATTAATGAATCTACTTCTGAATCTATTCCAGTATCAGAAACTAAAGAGCCTAATTACCTCATACTCATGAGTACAGTTACTTTTCAGAAATGGTATATCAGAATTACTTTTATGATAAAACCAGATTTTATTATAAAAGATGCCATTGCCCTTGTCGATAGTGGTGCTGATATGAATTGTATTCAGTAAGGATTAATTCCTACTAAATACTTTCATAAAACAATCCAATCACTTACAAGTGCAAGTGGTAATTCTTTATATATCCAGTATAAACTTCCAGAAGTATTAATTTGTAATCAAGGATTATGTCTTCCGACTTCTTTTGTTCTCAATAAAAATATGTCTCAAGCTATAATCCTAGGAACACCTTTTCTGTGTTTGCTTATGCCAATTTCTAAAATTGATTCTATTGGCATACACACAACCTTAAATAATCAACCGATTATTTTTGAGTTCATTACAGAACCTTATACAAAAGAATTAGATCAGATTAAGGATCTAGTTAATTTCAAAGAAAAAACAAATTAATTTCCTCCAGAAGGAAATTAGCTTTTTAACTACGGAACAACGACTTCAACAGTCTTCTTTCCAGCAAAATATCAAATCACTTAAACAAGAATTTTATAGCGATCCCGGGTTTACCCTTGTTGTATAGTGATCCGGACATGTGTCCGTGGATGTTGGTAGTTGTTTATTATCTTGTTTACCAAATGCTTTTTGGAATAGGAAGAAACACATAGTTTCTCTTCCTTATGAACCAGGTTATGATGAGCGGAAAATCCCTACTCGCGCTCGACCAAGTCAAATGAAAAAAGAGTATTTAGAACTCTGTAAATCAGAAATTAATACTCTCCTCCAAAAAAAGCTTATTCGATCCAGTCGTTCTTCTTGGATTTGTACAGCCTTTTATGTTAATAAAAATGCAGAAATTGAAAGAGGTGTGCCAAGATTGGCAATTAACTATAAACCTCTTAATGAAGCCTTACAATGGATAAGGTATCCAGTTCCCAACAAAAAAGATCTTTTAGATCATCTTCAGGATGAAGTCATATTTTCTAAATTTGACATGAAATCAAGATATTGGCAAGTCCGAATCGCTGAACCAGACAGATACAAAACTGCTTTTACAGTACCTTTTGGGCATTTTGAATGGAATGTTATGCCATTTGGTTTAAAAAATGCTCCATCTGAATTCCAGCATATAATGAATGATATTTCTAATCCTTATATAGAATTTTCCATTTGTTATATTGATGATGTTTTAATCTTTTCCTCATCAATTGACCAGCACATGAAACGTCTAAACATTTTTAAGCATGTTATTATTAAAAATGGTTTAGTTGTTTCTGCATCAAAAATGTAACTTTTTCAAACTACAATTAGATTTTTGGGTCATAATATTCACAATGGTACTATTATTCCCATAAATAGAAGCATGGAATTTGCATCTAAATTTCCAGATGAAATTAAAGACAAAACTCAATTGCAGAGATTTTTAGGAAGTTTAAATTATATTCATGATTACTATCCCAACCTTGCTACAGATGCAGCTATTTTATATTCTAGACTTCGGAAAAATCCTCCTCCTTAGGGACCAGAACATACAGATGCTGTTCAAAAGATTAAGGCTGGAGTTAAACCTCTACCTTGTCTTTCTTTACCAAATCCTGAGTGGAAAAAAATTGTAGAAACTGATGCTTCTAACTTAGGTTATGGTGGCATACTTAAACAATTTAATCCCAACAGTAACAAAGAAGTCCTTTTAAGATTTACTTCTGGTATTTGGCATCAAGCTGCTAAAAACTATCCGATAATTAAACAAGAATGTTTAGCTACTGTTAAATGTGTCTTAGAATTCCAGGATGATTTATTAAATCAACATTTTTTAATCAGAGTTGATTGTTCTGCAGCAAAACAGATTTTTAAAAAAGATGTTAAAAATCTAGCCCAAAAACAAATTTTTGCCACTTGGCAGGGCCAACTTTTAGTTTTTGATTTTGATATTGAATATATCAGAGGAGAAACTAATTTTCTTCCAGACTTTCTAACCCGCGAATATTTGTAGGGTCCTAACGCAGAATACGGGCCGAGGCTCCGGCAGACGGGGTCGCGGTAGGGGCAATCCCTACACTACAAAATTTCCAGGGCTATATGCCACTTCCAGTAAAAAAAAGGGGAATCAAGTCGTTTGGCCAAAGATGTCCTCCTCACTCCAGTACCATATGTCCAGAATTTTATCATTGAGGAAACTGTCCTCCACATTGAAAATTCCGATATTCAATGGATGAAGGATCCATGGGAAATTAGAAGGAGGTATTTGACTACTCAACATTCATTACCCCACTTTGATCAGTACAGATACATCTATAAGCAGATCCATGTTGATACTGCCTCTGTCAATTTCAAACATACTCTTGCTGAGCCTAATCTCACAGCTAGTCCAATTAATTATGGCAAAGCTACTATCCAGCAGATCTTGCCCATGCCGGCTTGGGGCATGCATCCTCATGTTACCCGTACCCTTGAGATCCTTAATAAGGAATCTCGTTACAGCTATTGGGATTATATTAATGCTTTTTCTCAAGCATTTTATTATATGAATCCCCCACGGAACCATTCTTGGTTCATTCGTGTCCTTCCCGAACTTTTACAAAACGATCTTCCAAACTGGTTTCTCGTTTGGTGGGATAAATTTGGTATTCAGATTGATGCATTTCCAGAAGATGTTTGCAATGCA